GCCTGGTGTCAAGAAGGGCAGCAAAGAAGCCACTTCTCTCCAAGAAAAACCTCAAGACAGACTGAAATTCTGCAGGAGGTACAAGGATTGGACAGCAGAAGACTGGTGCAAAGTTATTTTCTCTGATGAAGCTCCCTTCTGACTGATTGGGACATCTGGAAAATTGATTGTTCGGAGAAGAAACGGTGAACGCTACCATGAGTCCTGTGACTTGCCAACAGAGAAGCATCCAGAGATCATCCATGTGTGGGGTTGCTTTTCAACCAAGGGAGTGGGCTCTCTCATAATTCTGCCCAAAAACACTGCCATGAATAAAGAATGGAATCAAAACATCCTGCAAGAGCGACATCTTCCAACGATCCATGAGCAATTTGGTGATGATCCGTGCATTTTCCAGCATGATGGAGCACCATGTCACAAAGCAAGAGTGATAAAGAAGTGGCTCGAAGATCATTACATTTAAATTTTGGATCCGTGGCCAGGCAACTCCCCGGATCTCAGTCCCATAGAGAACCTGTGGTCAGTCCTCAAAAGGCGAATGGACAAGCAGAAGCTCACAAATTGTGATCAACTCCAAGAAATAATAAGGCAAAAACGGATGGCCATCAGTCAGGATTTGGTCCAGAAGCTAATATCCAATATGCCCGAGCAAATTGCAGAGATTATGAAGAACAAGGGTCAACACTGTAAATATTGAATCATTAAATTTTTTTTGCCAATAAAAGCCTTTAAAACTTAGGATATGCTTGTCAGTGTTTTTCAGTATACCATAGAAATGTGGAAAAACAAAACGACAAATATTGAAGCAGCAAACACAAAATGTATGTCACTGCCAATACTTTTGGCCATGACTGTAGATTCCGCCATTTGAATACACTGTTCTGTACACTTGTCTTTAAGTTAAAACAGTTAATAGTCATGTAACTATCCCACTGAATGAGGAATCTAGACAAGCCTCATAGCAGTCATACAAGTCTCTATACTATTGCTGCAAATAGTCATCCCTGATCTGGTGGAGACTTTTATGTGTACTGCATCTGTTGCTCACTGTAATGTTACACTGATGGAAAAACAGTAAAACACAACCTGCCACTGTGCATCTTCTGAAACTTACCTCAGTTAATGCCTCTTTGGCTCTTACACGTTCTTTCCGGCCGCCGCCACGGTCAGAGGCAAGGTTGAACCAACGGATGGTGTGAGAATCTATTTCACTCTGTTACACTGGTAAAACACTGGTTATTCCTTGCAGCTCCTGTTGATAAAAAAATGTGCAATAAGCATCTCCAACATCCCTGGACTAATTACTGTTTTAGATTAATCAAAATCAGACATCACAAAAGAAGTTGATGGTTTATGGTGTTTATGTATTTTTGTTTGATGGGATTGAATAACAAATATAAGAAATTAATAAAAACCAAATAATAGTATTTTGGCCATATACAGTATATCATTTAGGTTGTAGAGATGGTTTAAGGAAGGTGTTTTCAACTCAACGCCTTGGTATTATGCCATACTTACTGATCAGCAAACTTCTTGTTTGCATTTCCTTAAAGCACTTCTTCCCATTGACTCCCTTCCAGTTTATCTGTTTGGCTACTGCATTGGAGAAAACACTTGAGAGTATGTTCCACGTGACTTTTTTGGTGTTTTGTCCCCCGATGCCACCCAGCGCAGATATCTGACAAGACAAAATGCATTATTCTATTTTCTGTTTAGATTAAACATCTCAAAATATATGACATCAGTAAATACAATATAGCCACATAGACAAGTTCTACAGCAATCATGACATAGCTTTAAAAAAAAACATACCATGTTTTGTTTAGCCTGTGCGTTTCTTGAATCTTTAAGCCACTCCTCAAACTCCTAAACTTCAGGCATAGTGGCCAGTGGGATACTGATATGATGAGGCATTTCAGCCACAGTAGTCTCTGTCCCCAGTCGTGCAGAAAGATTATTGACAGCAGCAGCAAGCTGCATTTGCTGTTCCTTCACATGTTCCAATAATGTTAGGATGTGCAGCTGAGCAGCTACAAAATATGTAGTAAGAAAGCATTTAATGACTGAAAATACAAAGTTCTCTCAGTGCATATAATGTTTAAATTGTATAATCACAGAAAGTTTTAAAGTGAATGTTACCAGAGCAAGGAATAGGTCCAGTGCCTGTTTTCCCCAGTCTAAATGTGGGCCTAAAGCAATGCTCATTTGACAGAGACATGGCAGAGATCTGGTCCATATAGCTCGATGGCATGTGGGAAGAAGACCTAACAGCTGGAGGCTCTGTGACCAGAGAGAGGCAAGATGAACTCATTGTTTTTGTCTATAGTTGATAACTTTGATAAGCAATGCTTGTAAGCATACAATTATTAAGTACCTGTGTAACCATCTTCAGGAATGCGTCAGATCTGGAACATGTCCAGAGGAGTGGCGTAAAGGACTGGAAGGCATGCTAGATGTATTAAAGGGGACAGGTGGTGCTGCGAAACATGAAAATGACGATATTTTTAAGTGAACAATATATAACATTATATAATTCAGTGTCATACTAATAAATCCTTCAAGTTTACAATGAAAAATGTCCAGCTGAGACCTTTTAGGTCTGCTGAGCTGCATCAGTCCCATAGAAGTAACTTGACTTAATACAGTTATGTTAATGGTACAACTAAACAGTTAGATATTAACAAAAACATTGCTTTCAAAATGTTTCTATGGAAAAACAGGAATATACCATTAAAAGAAGATGATCCAGCCAGCCTCAGGTCTAGCAGAGGTCTCGCAGAAGTTTGTTTTCTTTCCCTAGATGGTACATCAGGTGTAGGTGGAGGAAGAGGAGGCACCGGACAAAGAGACATTGTTGTATCTCCTCTTGACACCACCCTCTGGCTCACTGTCAGAGTCTGTTTCACCAAACATTTGCCTAAGAAACCAACATTCCTATGCATGGTTAAAAAAAACATGTTGCTTCAACAGTAAGAACTGCTTATACTCAACCAGGCACACTAAATATTTAATTAGCCTACACTACTGAGTCTGTACTAGGAATCATTGTTTTACTTGACCTTTGTAGTACTGCAAAACACTCTAGAAAAAGCCAATTTCTTGCTTAGACAATTACAGCAATATACAACATAGCAAAAAATAGAAGTCTACACTGCCTAATAAGTGAGCTCTATATTTAAAGATATTTATGAATGCATTTTCAAATGATGCATGAGTGTCAGTCTCAGTATATAAAACCTTTGCTTAATTTTTCTCTTCCGAATGACTTCTTCCTCATCATCTGTTTGTCATTCAGATGTCTTACAGGTCAGTGAGGCCCTCAGCTTCTCTCTTTCTTTAAGGTAGTCACCTGATCAGAATTCACACAACAAAAATTCAATAATTACTCCACTTTTGCAAACTTACATGCAAGAAACTATGACTATCAAATCACCACTTTACACAAAGTATGTAATGAAATCTATCGTGATATTATCAAATCACTTCAGTACAGTAATAACTTTTTTATTATAATCTGTGACAGAGGGGGGTTTACAGTGAACAAAAACAACTATTGACAAATATGTAACAGAATGTTCTAAACCTACTATTAAATGACTGTTAAATTAAATTAATGTGTATTTTATTGATTAATGTATATTTCATAGACCAGTAATAATTCGAATTTTCAATATGTTAAGTATCTTTATGGAAGTGGTGAATTTCATAACAGTGGTTTCATAAAAATTTTAGTTCTAAAGCAGACCCTTACCAGTTCTTAAGAGGACACGGACATCATACTTTTTCCAGTATGCTCCGGGCTCTTCACATTTTTGAATAGCTCGGTTTATGCGTTCATCGCTTCTGTAGTATGGCCACCAAGTGACACCATCCTCTATATATGAGCATTCTTGGTTCAATTCTGTTATCACCAGTATAGCTGGATGATGCAGGACCCTTCCATTTTGTGGTGGATTCCCACATCATCCTGGATGGTATATATATATATATATATATACATATATATATAAAGATATATATATATATATATATATATATATATATATATATATATATATATATATATTGCAAATACACACTCACACACACA